TTGTATATTTGTGTTGAGTTTTCAAGTGATGTGGTTTAATTTTTAATGAAATTAAAGCCTATAAATGTTTATTTCCTGTCTCAAGGCTAAGGCAGCTGGGAAGCTAAGAAAGGGATAAAAATTGATAGCAGAGTCTGATGCAATAGATTACATCAATTATCAACTGAGATTGATGGGCTGTCTTGTCAGTCTGCACTGCTTCCTCTACTTATTTATTTTCTTGGTGGTGGAGATGAATTGCAGGGATGTTGCGGTACCTTAGTCCAAACAGCTGCACCAGTAGCCTAGCCCATTCCAAGCAAGGATGTGGTTAGCTTGATTTTGTGCCATTGCACATACTGGCACTATGCTTGCATTGAAGATGGTGATTTCTAGTTAACAGCTCTTCGACAGCAATTCTAGTTACTGTCCCATTAAAGTTCCAGATTTTCCCTGCAGATTTTATCATAGGATAATCAGCAGTTCAGCATAGTTAACTGAATAAGCACACAAGTTGGCACCAAGGCCTGAGCACTAAACTCACTCAAAAAAAAGGAAGAGTTCTCCTTCAGCATCAATTAATATCAAGGTGTAAGCATTTCCAGTTGTCAGTGACAGAAGAAAGTCTCCTTTTTATCCTCCCAAGTATTGCAGGCAGGTCTGTGAATTTCAACCCTTAAGAGGCCTCTGTTACCCTCAAGGGAGAAGAAGAAAGTCTGGGCATGAGTGCCACAAAGCCTTAACTTATTGGTTAAATTAAGAAAATGATCCAAGCCTGCATGACTAAATATAAAAATTTAAGTTTCCAAAGGATTCAGATATTGGTGTCTGACTAATGTCAAAAGGAAGTGATTTCATTCATCACGTTTGGACATGTTATTTTAAGGCATGATATCAGACTTGATTATAATTCAGATTACAAACTTAAATCACTTCTTCCATACATCGACTTGTGTTAATGTTATATTGCTGGTGTTTTGGTCGGGTGGAATGGAAGTTTTTTTTTAAATTCGTCACTTTGCCTCTTTGCTTCTCTAGTTTTGAAATCTTAGATATATATTCACATATATACATGTGTGTGTGTGTATATATAAATAATATATGTACCCCCATGATTAAATGAAGAATAAACCTCTGGCTGATTTTCCAATTCCCCAACTGAGATCAGCTAACTCAATATGGACTTGGGGCTTTCCAAGTATTTATATCTCAGCTAATCACTGAACTGAGACGCTACCTTTTGACTGCAGACATGATTTTTTTGGTTTGATGGGGAAGAGGTTCTCAAATCAATCAGGCATCACACCGAAGGGTTTCCATGGTTGAGTACTGAATATCCAAATTTTCTGTACCTTATTGGATGGAAATGGACTATTCCTTCTATACATTCATGTCCATGATTCGCAGACCCACTGGGCAAAGCACAGTGGAATCCTGTTACAATGCAGGGTTTGCCCACATTATAGCAAGGGACAATAGCAGATTTTACTGTCCACCAGTGCCACTGACTGACTCGCTTCCTGCACACAGGTTAGTTCCCAGTTCATTGGGTCACTGACTAAATTGCTTCCTGTAATCTGATGAATCCAGTCAGACCATTTGTAGTGTGGGAATAAATAATGCTTGCAGTTGATATATTACCTTTCACATTGGGAGGATGTTTCAAACCACTCCACATGATGTCCTGTGAAGTGCAGTGACTATTTTATAGGCGAACCCTGACTGTGAATATAATGTGAAGTACTTTGGGATGTTTCAACATCATAAGGTGATTTTTCAAATGAAAGGAGGTTTTTTTAATGTAAAGGAAAGATTTGTAATACTTTTAAGCCTGTTTTTAAAATAGTGGATGAAGGAAAGCAAAATTGCAGATGTCCTCAGGCTGCCTGGTATTGTATGACTTTACGGTAACATCCTCTATCCCCTTTTAAGTGTGAAGCTCTAGAAACAATCCAGTATTAGTCAAATGGAAATCTGTAGTAATTTTCCTAAATTGGATGCAGGCCAAGCCAATGATAAATGATGTATGTGACTTAAGCCACAAGATTACAACTCTTGCATTCTGCACATGGTGGCTCCAGTCCCATGAGATCAGTATTGCATTACGTATGGTTTTAATATGTTTAATTTGAATCAGACTATGACTACTTAAAAAGGAAACATTCTGAATTGTTTAACATTCTGACTTGAAGCATAGTTTATACTTGCAGCCAGTTTTTCACCATTCATACTATATAATTCCAATTAAAAATATCTATTTAATTTGCCATATTAATCTATTTAATATCTGAATGTTAGATTACTGACACTGGCTTTAGAATACTGAATATGTCCTTTTTTTAAAAAGAGCATTTTTTTTATCCGAATGTGTATCTGCTGGACTGTTTGGTACCGTTTGGCGTTTGTAATGTGGTCATAGATCTTATTGTATCATTGAGTCTCGCCCTATAAATTTAGAAGGGCGCTTCTCCAGATGAACGTGTACCAGCAACTAGTGTTGCGTGAGTTCTTTGTGGCTATTATAAGCTTCTTTCTAAATTCTAATAAAAGTATTTGATTATATGGCCTCTTAGTCTTTTAAGATAATGTTAAGCCATTCCCGTATCAGGGAAGTTTAAATGCTGTAAGTGAAACCAGTTAATTTGAGTCAGCAAAGGTTGTGACTTGTTTTCTGTAAATCAGCATTATTCTGCAGTATAGTGTCTAATTATGGTTGCAGCCAATAATGTATAAACACTTATTGCATGTTTTAATATATTTAGTGTGAATGGGGTGTTGCTGAACAAGAAGCTCAGTTTTTTCAATACTGGAAGTGTTCCCCTTCGAGTTGGAATGGGTGGACAGAGATGACTAGAGATTTGTTAGTATTGTATTGGAAACTTACAATGAGGGTTTAGATTTGCTTAATTCAAGTTTGTTCCGAAATTGCAGAACATTAGTGTTCCTGGCAGTTGTAACTTGTTTGACAGATCATAATAGGCTGTCTGGGGTGGTGGAGGGTTGTGCTGGATGTGGCTTCCTTCCTATGATTCATTTTCTGTGAGCAATCGCCTCGTCTGGACTCTGGAGACTGTAACCATTCATTTTTTGCTGTCTAATATTACCCATTGCCGTTATTAACCTAATTTGAATGATTGCTTTGTACTGTGTAATCATTCAAAGCATTCCTCTGAGTCAGAATAGTTTCCCCCAATAATAGTGGTTTTATTGGGGGGACTTTTAAAACCTGGTTTCCTCCTCGACCTTGCTGAATGTAGAAGTTGACTGAAAACTGAAAGCAAGCAGTGTGATTGAATCCATTCTTCCTTCCTCCACTCCACACATGCAAACACAATGTTCTCCCCTCATAAACATAAGAACATAAGAATTAGGAGCAGGAGTAGGCCATTCGGCTCGCGAGCCTGTTCTGCCATTCAATAAGATCATGGCTGATCTATTCTAACTCCACCTACCCGCTTTGTCCCCATATCCCTTAATCCCTTTATCCTCAAGAAATCTATCAATCTCAGTCTAGAATATGTTCAAGGACTGAGCATCTACAGCCCTTTGTGGTAGACAATCCCATAAATTCACTACCCTCTGAGTGAAGAAGTTTTTCCTCAACTCAGTGCGAAAGGGCTTATCCCTAATTTTAAGACTGTGACCCCCGGTTATAGTTTCTCCAACCAGGGGAAAAAGTCTCCCACTATCTATTCTGTCGTGCCCCTTAATAATCTTATAGGTTTCAATAAGATCACCTCTCAGTCTTCTATATTCTAGAGAATATAGGCCTAAATTGCTCAACCTATCCTCATAACTCATCCTCCTCAACCCAGGTACCAACCTTGTGAATCTACGTTGTACTCCCTCCAAGGCGAGTACATCCTTTCTTAAATAAGGAGACAAAAACTGCACACAATACTCTAGGTGTGGTCTCACCAGGGCCCTATACAGTTGCAGCAAGACTTCCCTACTCTTGTATTCTAACCCTTTTGTAACAAATGCCAACATACCATTATCCCTCCTAATTGCTTTGCTGTACCTGCAAACTAACTTTTTGTGACTGGTGTACAAGGACACCCAAGTCCCTCTGAACTTACACTATTCTTGCACTATCACAGGAACTCTCATTTAAATGTTCATTCTTTATCCATTCTGTGAGGCACTGGCAATGTTCACAGATCCCTTTTGACTTGGGTGGGAAGAAGATCCACAACAAAGCATGATCCATCCCATTTCATTTCTTTGCACTTTTCAGCATGGATCAATGGATAGATATTTAGTTGGATCTTTTTTTCACCACCACCCACCCCCCCCCCCCCCCCCAACGTTCATACCCATTACAACGACTTCATGTCACTGAAGTATTTATCCAACTGTAGCGAGAAACATTGCATTTCTATATCGCGGCAAGAATTCATACATTATATAGTTGTAAAGTTTTTTTAATCAGCAGAATCAAAATGAGGTTATAATCTTCTTCTATAGAAATTTATCTTTAAAAGGTTGATATTTAATATCTGAATGTTAGATTACTGACACTGGCTTTAGAATACTGAATATGTACTTAAGCAATTATGTAAATCTGTTTACAGGCCTTTAGTAACTACTTATAACTGTGATGCCTGGATGATTATAGTTCTTGAAACTATTTCTGTGCTATATTTAATTGGAGTCCTGCACTACCTCTTCAAAGCAGCTAGTGTAGTTAATTGAATCCTTGCATTTGATGTTGTCCTTTCAGGTTGGGAGGCTGTCTCAAAGCGCATTACAGAATCTTGCTGTTCACTGTATTTTGTAGTCGGAAAGTTATGTGTGAAATGAACACTTTAACACAGTTGCAATATACTTGCTCTTATAAGGCAGGGGTGACCTAGATGGATTTTTTGAATTTCAACCATGATTCCTGATTCTGGAATATTGATGCTGCATGGTTAAAATCCGATGTACCTCGGCTTGTTGATAACCAACAAGCCAACCCACAGGAGGAAGATTTTAAAAAAAGTTTCAGATGTTTACCTTTCTTTTTCTCTCTTTTACAGTCTTACTTTGTTACGGATTATGATCCAACAATTGAAGATTCCTACACCAAGCAATGCGTTATTGATGACCGAGCTGCAAGGTTGGACAGTAAGTATTCTGAAACAAACATGTGTGTGTGTGAGATTAGTGTACAACTTTCAGGCATACATTTACAATGAAAAGCTCTCCTACTTGAATTCAAGTAACCGGACAGTGTTTATGAGATAGCTTTTCCTTGGTGGCAGACTTACTTAAATTCCAGATCTATCCATATCCTGCCAAATTGGCTTGTATGAGCTTCCATTTAGGAGTTTGGAAAAAACTAAGATCTTGAAGGTCTGACTTGTATTTTGAACGCAGGGATTCTCTAGTTAAGAAAAATTCAACTAGAGCCAGGTTCCAGGCAGCTCTGGGCATAGTTTTGCTACCACTTAATCATTTCAAGTACATGAACTTGGATTATTGCAGTTTTCTTGCAGTGTGCAGGCTTCAAACTCTTGTCTGGATTCTGGGGATGACGACAGTCGTCTTTGTCGTTTGATATACAGCGCTGTTCCTGCTGAATCTTTTGGAAATTATGCTTCTCGACTTGCTGAAGTTAATGCCAGCCACCCATAGTTTTGTTGCAGGGAAGTCTTATTGGAGATTAGGAAAGGGTTGCTAGATCTTTAGCATATTCTATATTTTGATAGATTAATCTGCAATGTCAGACTGCCTTCACTTACATACATCTTATATCATATAATAATCCTTGCATTTGATATAGCGCTTTTCACGTCTTTTCGACGTCTCAAAGCGCTCACAGAAGACTGTAAAGTGAATTGACTGTATATTTGTGGGCGAAACGCGGCAACCAATTGCAAACAGCAGTGTCCCACAAACAGTCGTGGATTGAAAATGACCAATTTATTATTGTTTTGTTTTGGAGAGATTATTATTAGGCGTGTGGAGTAAGGAAACTTGCCCAAGTTTCGCCCTGCCTGGAATTGAACCCAGTTGCCTCGCTTGCAAGGCGAGTGCTCTAACCACTGAGCTACAGGACTCCATACCTTTGTTACCTTTGGTTGTGAAATATCAACAAGAATGTCTTCCTGTGCCGTGACTATTGTGAGCCAATATTCAAAGGGTTTCTTGTATATTTGCAAGGCTGTTACTTAAGAGTTCCTCCCTTGATCTTGTCAAACATTTTGGTTTTAACCTGACTGTTTAATGTGAAACTGTTCACCTCTTCTGTGCTCCAAGATTACTTGAAGATCTGTTTTTATGCCCTCGTAAATCATAATTCATTTGTATGTGATTAGATTAGATGTGCTCTGAATTTACCTCAGCCTCAGTGGTTTTTTTTAAAAAACGATCCTCCCACTGTCTGATCTGCTGTCCTTGGAAATTCCTTATGTTTAATTCCTTACTCAGTCTTTCTTCTGTTGTTTCCTTTCATAAGAACTGAGGCAAAACCAGATGAAGCCTTGTTTGCAGCTGTGTTGGCGAAAGATATTATGGTTTCCTGATTCCTTTGTGGCACCAGAGATAGATATCTAATGGTCTTGTGTTTTTTCTTCCATTTTGGTCTTCATTTATGTGTAGGCTTTAAAGAAAATTGAGTTCTATTTTGTATCATGTGTAAATACAGTATCTTAATTCCTGCCTGTTCAGACAATTAAAAGTACTCATAATTATGTAATTAACCCATCCTTGTTGCTTGTTAATTCAAATCACCTATAATTTCACGTGTATAATGCATAATATACCCTCATTTGCACATGGGAAAATCAGTAGTAGATGAGCATCATTTTAACACAATTGAGGTAAAGATGCCTCCTCATTTTGAAAATATATTATGCATTCCAAATGCTAATGCCAAGCAGAAGTAGGTTCTGACAATCATATGGAAATTGTGCAATGAGTGGTAGCCTTTTTGTCAACTTTGCAATCTTAATTACAAAATTTAGGGAAAATATAATTGTGTCAAGTACCAAAAGTAAAAAGTGACAAACCTCAATTTTGGTAATGTTTGAATAGTATCCACTGGTTTATTTCAGGGCTGAGAAGTGTGTCTTCCATTTACAGACATTAAGGAAATAAAATTTGTGTTCTGCAAAGGCATAATGCCAAGGTCAGATGGAAGTGAGAGGTGGAAGCGAGTTTCTTCATTGTCTGTTTGATTTCTTTCAGTATGAAACTTTGTTTTTAGTTTTTATCATTTTAGCAATCTGTGAAGATCTTTGTTTATCGCCTCCTCCCCCTTTTGAAAATCTACATCTTGCATAGAACAGTTAGAATTTTTGTGTGCATAATACTACTCCTTGGCTCTTTGGTGTAAACAATTACATACAATACCACTACCATTTATAGAGTGGTGTCTTGGTGCAAAAAGTGCTGCCTGAAATTGAGTCAAATTGTGCGACGGAGGATTCATGAAATAAGACTTCATTGTTCCCATCTCTTTCTGCCTCCAATTTTCTTACTTCTTAGGCTCTCGTGCTGGAGTCGAGAGGTCATTTGAATTGGAACTTTAACTTTTATTTCCTTCCTAATCAGTGGTGGTTGACATGTCTTTATGATATAATTTGATTACACATTGTACTTCCAAGAATTCAGCAAACTTGAATGTGAGGCTTGGAACCATTTGATTTTTGATTTTTCTGATGTCCTTATCTGCATAGATTAATAAAATAAAATTATTCCATTGCCTGGAAAGAGATTAAAAGAAGCTTTTCTTTGCTGGGGTTATGCAGAAAAGGAATGATTTTTGTGCAAAGGAACGCCTGTTCGTGTTTTGTCTATTGTATGGTTCTGTAAGTTGTGCTGTCCGTAACATATGACATTTTGCTTTTGTCTAGTTTTGGACACAGCGGGACAGGAAGAGTTTGGAGCCATGCGAGAACAATACATGAGGACAGGGGAGGGCTTCCTGCTGGTCTTCTCAGTAACCGATAGAGGAAGGTATGCTTTAAAATCTAAGTCAGGAGAAGATCGTTGGCTGTATTCACAAAGGCACTTTAACTGTCAAGTTTCCTTTGACAGAACTCAGCATAGTTTTAGTTTCATTGTGACATTATGTGAATTAAAAAAATTGTGCTTCTTTAATTAATGTTTGCAATTCAGCGCCTTGGGACGTCCTCCTGACGTGAAAGGCGCTTTATAAATGGGATCTTGTTGTTGTTGTTGTTGTAAATGTCAGTTGATAAACTTTAAAGAAGTCCTCTTTATAAGAGCATACTTCCTATATAATACGAGAGTTGTCCCTCCATTTTCAGAGACTATTCATTATCTGAGGATGACCAGAATTGTAGATTAGGAATAAAAATATAATGAGTACAGTTTCAAAAATATATTGAAATGAACTGTTGTGGAATCTTAATACTTTATAATCAATGGTCTGTTCCCAGTTTTTATATCTTAACTGAAGTAGCAGTGCTTGGTCTTAGAAGCGTGACTGCTCCACAAGCCCAGAGCACTGCTCTTTGGCATATAGATAAGATTTGGGTGGCTTTTGTTTTTCTGTTTGATGGGGTAATGAAAATGTGTGCACAAAATAAATTCAAACTATTAATATACATATTTTAACAAATGTGTAATTGTTCCAATTGTAGTTTCACTTTTTAATAAAAATGTGTTGCAATTATGTGTATTTAATATACTAAAAACAATTTTTTAAAAAATTCTTGCTTAACAGACTAGGATAAGCCTAGTGATTTTTTTATTAATTATACTTGGATGAGTGTATAAGTTAAAACTCCTGAAACTTTATCTGCAGCATTTTGTCATTCCTGTTAATGCAGTAGCTTTAGTCATAAATTACTTTTAAGTGAATGAGTTAACCCACGTTACACGTAAATTGTTTCTGTATAAGTCATCTGCATGACTATTCATTTCTACAATGTACCGCAAGATAGCAAAGTAAAAATATACATCAAGATGTTTACATTTGGGTTTATGTTCCAACCGCTAAACATTCAAGAAATTGTGCAACTGTCATTTTAATATACTTTAATTATGAATTCTGGAAAAGTAAGGGGTTTGTAGCACAAGGGTTATTAAATTTAATGTGAGTTAACTGCAATGGAGTAATCCATTTTTAGGAGGAGGAACAGCTGGTCAGACACGGCATATTGTGAACCATTTGCAGAATAGCTTTGATGGCTATAACCATCCAACTCCTGAAGATGGAAAGCAGTGAGCATCTGAAGGGGAAATGTACAATTTAATAGTATAAGTACATTGCATTTTAATAGGTTCAATACATTTTCTGTTTCGGAGAAAAAGGTTAATTTCACACTAAATTTTATATATATTTGATCTGTTAAATCAGTGGCCGGGCTTTCAGCCTCTCTGCCCCCACTCTCTGGAACTCCATCCCAAGGTCCCTTTGTCTTGCTTCCTCCCTTGCCTCCTTCAAGGCCGGTCTCAAGACCCTTCTCTTCGATCATGCCTTCGGTCGCCCTCCCTTCGCCCTCTGCCTTCCCTCACTCCTACACCATCCCTCCCCCATGCTCGGGCCCCGACACCTGATTGTTCAGTGCTTTGGGACATCCTCCCGACGTGAAAGGTGCTCTATAAATGCAGCGTTGTTGTTGAATATGACCATTATTTTAATCATTGATCATTTGTGGCAAAGTAATGGCAGGATGGATATGCGTTTCTGAGGTGTCTGCTTCTGCCAGGATAAATCACCAGACCAAGTGGTTAGTCCAGGATAATCGAAGATTAAGTTGTTGTAAACTGGATCACTGGCAAGTTCATACTGATGAATAGACTTGTACAAAGAAGATAGGATTGAAACAACTGTGCTTCATTTTATGCCATTTGACGTGCGTAAAAAAAGTGACCAAAGCTAAACTACTACTGTTAGCCACCTCAGCAAAAAAACAATTTTGCAGCCTTTGACCCACTCACTCATTCTTGCTATAGTTGTTTAGCCAAGCTGAGAACTACAGCATTCCTCTCTCCAATGATTTATTCATCATATAATTTTGTTGTCACGCAGAGGCACTTAACTCTGTGATGAGTGCCTGCAAGATTTTCTTTTGCGCTTGAAGTGTGAAGCATTTTCAGCTACCATGGAAACAGAACATTTCTCAGTTGCAGAGCAGATGTTTCAGTCACCACTGAGTTGAATATGATGTCTGAAGTCAGGAAACAACATTCCTGTTTTGTTTGAAGCACCATGGTAACATAGAATAAGTAAAATAAGGATTACAAAGGGGAAAGAGAGCATAGTCATTTCCCCTTTTGTCGATGTCCTGAAGAGATTGTTTGGAGATATTGTAGGGTTTAAAAAAAGTGATAGATATCTGAATTAAAAACTGAAAAGGCTGGAAATGCAGCATCTAAAAGAGAAAGGTAACTTAGATGTGAACCTTCAACAGTTTATCTATGTAGATCAATTATGGAAATGTTTCACATATCTGGGGATTAGTTTCTACGGTAATTTCAAATCAACCACAGTAAGAAATTCAGGTTTGACCCATTATTCATTTTCAGCTGGTGAGTGAGCTATTCTGCATACCCAGTGTTTGCAATTTTTAATTATCAGAATCTGATATCTAATATGCCTGGCTGTATGTTTTGATCATGCAGATCTGCTCTTTGGTGATCTCCCAACAAACGGTTCTTGATGCCTGACCTAGCGATATCAACTGAGAGTCCCATATTTTGTAATCCATACCATTTACCAACAATAACGTGGATTTATCTAGCGCACTTCACTTGGATGAGCGTCCTGGAGCGCTGGAGGCATCCATCAATGCTGATAGATGCCTGGGCTAGGAATAGCCTGTTTGCTCGGTTAGAAATTTCTCGCAGACTTCATATAGAAGTAGTTTGATGGGACAAATAACATGTTTTAAAAGTAAAAAGCTTTGCAGTATTCAAAGGCTTAATGTGGGTTTCTAATTTAGACCCTTTGGTTCACAGAAGCATTTGGAAGTTTGACACATGAGCTCCCCTGTTCTGACTATTTTACTTTATATCTTTCATTCAACCACATTTCTTTATTTACTTTCCAATCATGTTCTGCGTGTCTCCCTTATGTTTGCTACCAATTAATTCCAAAGTCGGCAGGCGTCTCGTGTCCACCAAGTTTTATAGAGCCAGCTGTAGTGTTCTTTGGGTAACCTGATCACAGCAAAAGACTGTGCTGCTTCAGCTGTCTTTTGTCCTTTTGTTGCATTCATTTAGAATTGGACAGGATTGGGGTGGGTGGGGGGGGGGTAAAATCGAGGGTATGTAAGAAATGGGGAGACCAGGCAGCATATGACAGTGGGGAAAAAGATTAAAATCTTAGAAAGGGTGAAACCCAAGGGGTGAAAGAGCAGAATATTTGTTACAATATAGATAGATATCTGCTTTGTGAAATGACCCTAAATTCTGTCTCTAACATAGTCTTGTACGAATTGGTTACCAGAGTCCTTACTCTCGCTTTCAAATCTTTTCACATCCCGGCACCTCCCTATCTCTTCATTCTGCTCACACCCACTCCTCTACCCACCACTTTCACTCAGTTAGTTTGGATCTTCTGCAGTCCCTCATCCCCTTTGTTTCACAATTGTTGACTGTTTTCAGCCACTAAAGCCCAAGACTCTGGAACTCCTTGCTTCAATCCCTCCATCTTTGCCCATTCTTAAATTGCACCTGAAAAATTTCCTCTTCGACCTTGGCTTCGGTCACTTTCTTTCCCTTTCCAGCTCTGGGTCAAACCTCACTGCTGTTAAACACTCCAAAACTAACTGCGTGAAGACCACTATGTAAGTGCTTGTTGTTATTGACCGCTTTTCTTTGCATTTTCTTTGAAAGGACATTCACAAAGGACATTCTTTTGCCCCTTGTTAAAGCTTGTTCATTTAGATTCTGAACATTTTGTGGTGGTGGTGGTGGGTGAGGATAGTTTAATCCTGATAATGTGCTTTCATTTTCAGTTTTGAAGAGATTTACAAGTTCCAAAGACAGATCCTTCGGGTAAAAGATCGTGATGAATTCCCTATGATCCTAGTAGGAAACAAAGCTGACCTGGAGCATCAGAGGCAGGTGAGCACCAGGAAGCAACTTTTCTGTGGTATTCATGATGACAGTTTTATGAAGGCTTCAAAAATAATAAAGGATATTGCCCCCTGAAGTGATTGATTTTTTTTGTCTGATGTGTGGTTCTTTGATGAATGAAAAGGAGCAGAACTATAATGGCTGAAATGCTAGCCCTTTGAAATGCAATTTTAAAAAGACACTAAAGGTCTAACTTGCACAAACATCCGCCCCGTACAGTACAGGTTTTTCAGTGGAGTGTTCTCTTCAAATAGTTCATTCTTTACTCAAGGAAATTTATTCAATTCCTGAGCAAAAAATTATTGCAAGTTTTATCCAAGTGTCGCTGGTGCATTGGTTTACCAGCGTCTCGAAGTTCCAGTTGTGCTCTCATGGGGCTTTAATCTCCGATTCCTTGTGTCTGCCCAACCACACCTCTTCTCTGGCACGTAGACAAGTAGATATGGAGCACAATCCATCTCTTGGGGAACAGATTGGGTTTTCCAGAACTGGCACACCAGAATTTTTTTCTCAGAGACTTGAGCAAGATGTTTTGTGACAATCAAGATTCCCAACTGACAAAAATGTTTAACAATATTTAACAGTAAAAGGGTTGATCCAAAGTGCTATGATGCATATAATTAGATCCAAAATTTGTGAAAAGTGGATGTTTTCCATCCCCTAATACAACACAGTCGAAGTTCCGGTTGGTTCACTGCACAGACTTCAGATATGGAAGAAGTCATGGGAAACAATTCCAGACCCCTTCACCTGAACAATTATGTCATCACAAGTGTGAAAGAAAAATCCATAGTTCTCAGACCAAATATCTGCACATCAATCACTTTAGCTCATGCAGCTTGCACAGTCAATTATACGGTGCCATGTAAAAATAAGTTGTATCCAGTGGTGTGAAACTATTGCTACAATTACAGAATTTCAGAAGGAAAATATTTTTTTCCAATTTTTAAGAAGGCATATTCATAGGATAAATGAAAGTGCTTTGGTGCACAAATGCAGGATGTAAGTTTGCTCATCATTCCCGGAGTTTCTTGTGTTGACAAGGTTACTTGAGAAATTGTCAACAGAAGTTACGAGAGAGATGCGAGGAGTGAAGGAAGATCAAACATTAAGGAATAGAGCTGGGAAGTGGAGCTCTTAAAATAAGAGGGCAGTTTTATTTTTTTTAAATAAATGCAATTGCACAGACGAGGAAGGCTGAACGACTCCCTTGTGTGAAGAGAATTTTTGTTTCTATCTGTAGTTGGGTTGGCTTGGGCTGTTCTCCTGCCATCGCTAGTCTGGATGCGAACTATGCTCCTAATTGGAAACTGGATAAAAAGTGTGATAAAGTAGATATTTTATAAGTACTGTACTTGTGTAAGTTGAAATGATTGTGGTACAGTGCAGTTCATAGACCACTAACATAAATTTTGCTACAGCATTTATACAAATCCTATAGCTTATTTAACTATTTCTCAGTTGCGTTACATAGGCAGATAGCATTCAAGCAGTGAAATCTGTTGCAGGGATTTGGGCTGAAACTGTACCTTCGCAACAGCTTTTTTAAATTACTTTTTCTTCCCTCTTTACGTTCCCCCCCCCCCCCCCCCCCCCCCCGCCTCCCAAATCTGCTACTTGTGAGATCCCGCAGAGCGCCTCCCGAAATGCAGGGGAAGGGAGGCCTCTCATTCCTAGTCCTTTGTCAATCCCTGAAAAGCCAGTCACAAACTGAGATTGGGGTTTGGATTTACTTGAGGTTTAACTTTCCCTTCTCCGAGGGGGGATGCCTTGCCTCTATTTGTCACCTCCCACAGGTACAGATTTGGGGTGCCTGGGAAGTGTGGTGCAACTCATTGAATTATCAACGCTCTGATTTTTCCATCTGCCTTTTATGAATTGTAATAATGTACGGTTTTAACTAACGTCCAAAATCTTTCTTGCTAAGTGTATGGTATATTCATTCCGCCATCTGCTGTTGAGATTCTGTAATTGCAGTATGTATTGCATTTGCCGAAATCTGCTGGTCGGGTGGTGGGTGAATCAAATCAGTACCTTACGATGAATCTCCAAAATCTCTGGAAGCTATTAATTAAATATTATGAGTTTCATTAACTTCATTATAATACAGGTATTGAATTGAGTTATAAGATCCTTGGAGTGTATTTTTCTTTGGGGGCGGGGGTGGGGGGGAAGATGTGCACTATAACCTTTGAGCATTATGGACAGTATCGTCACTGAAGATTTGTCAAATTTTAATGTGTGCAGTGTTCATGGAGGGTGTGGTTACATTCGATTTCCCCATTTAAGTCTTGGAAAAATCATTTTTGAGAAGTAGATTTCACTTTTACAGTAGAAAATTGTTGAACTGAACAACATCATTTATCAATCTACTTGTGGCTAAACCATCAGTACTTGGGAGGAATTGGATTCTCCAAGTAGTGGATGTAATCATTTTTCATTCAAATTTAATATAATCTTTACATGGTGCCTTTCATCTCAGGAGACATTTCAAAGAGCTTCATAGGATATACTGTAAAGTGTAGTGACCTCTTGTTCTGTGTAAAAGTGTTTCGTCTTGAAGTGTTTTGTCCCCAGCCAACCTGTTATCTTGAGTATTATTCAGCTTTAACTTGTGACCAACTCTAGTTGTGTCAAATGCCTGTAGGCTTGATGGTATAATCTATACACATTTTAGGTGCATTTTTTCAAAAAAAAGTGCTTCAGTGTGAATAGCAGGACAATGTTATTCTGTCCCTTTCTTCTAGAATTTGTCCCCAAACCCACAATCTGTCACTTTCCTTGCCACAATTGCTTGAATCCATCATGAGTTGAACAGTGTACTCTTTGTTGTAGGTCCGTGTGTTTTTGTTCGTTTGTTGATGTGTATTTATGTTGCGTTGGTTCTGCAGGTGACGTTAGAGGAAGGACAACAGCTGGCCCGTCAGCTCAAAGTCACGTACATGGAGGCTTCAGCCAAAATCCGATTGAATGTCGACCAAGCTTTTCACCAACTGGTCCGAGTGATAAGGTGAGTCGAGGGTTATCTGATACAGGTACTCTGCACTACTGATTGGAGTATTGTGTGGGCGTGTCCGTATATGGTCAAGAGGTTTTAAGTATCTCTCTAGGTGCACTCCAAGGCAACAAAGCACTCAGCACATTTGTCTTAAACATATTTCATTTTTGTACTACATTTGTACTCTTCAGAAATGTGATTCGGGTGGCACTTGTTCAACTTTTTTTTATATATAGCATAACTTCAAGCAGGAATGGTGTTTTTCCCCCTCGCTGTTGACCTGTGTCCAAGTGCGTTTTTTTGCTCTCTGTAAAGAGGCAAATGTCTTAGCACCTGCTAATTTTTTTTTATTTTCTGTCCTCCACTCTCCTACAGGAGATTTCAAGAGCAAGAATGCCCTCCTTCTCCAGAACCTTCACGCAATGAAAAAGATCGTAGTGGCTGTCACTGTGTCCTATTCTGAGAGACCGTTCCTCCACTCGCCCATCAGCTGCCAGCCCACCCACCCACCCACCTACCCTACCCCTACGTCTGCCTTTGCAACCCTTTCCTATGTCGAACAGTATTGCCTCTTACCTGCATGCTCATCATTTGGTCACTGATAGCCTTTAGTTGGACAAAAGTTGTATCAAGCCCTTGGGGAAGGTTTTAGTCACCCACTCCACAAGGCAAAAGGATTGAAAACAAACACTAAGGCTGCTACTTTGTCACACAGTTCCATTTGTTCAGGGCTTGAGCTTTGTCGTGATATTTGTACTACTTATGAAAAGTTGATCTGGAATGTAGATACAGTTTTTAAGCAAATTTGCCTTGTGAGGTGTTCAAATCAATGCTTACGTGTCTTGTCCTCAGTGCCGTTTAAACTCTTATTGCTATGGATATGTGCTAATCAGCTGCTGTACATATAGATCTTTGATTTTAAAGAGAATCTTATCAATTGATAGTTAGAAGAGGACAGTGAGAGTAAGGGTGAGCTGGTTATTTCTTTGCCCTGGATAACACAGACAACACATAAAATAAGCCTTAAAAAAAAAACACTTTATTGTTGGCAAGAGTCTGAGTTTCATGTAATGCTGCGGTTTGTTCCAGTGGCCAAATCCAGTCAGTCTACTGTATTTATTTTGAACAATCCAGAGGGGTTTGCAGGCAGTGATGTGGCCAAAACCTGTGACTTCACTGGATATGAACATTTCAGTGTTTTTTTTGTTTAAAAAAAAAAGCAGTTTTGCATCACTGTTGAGGATTTCCAAGTCGTTTAATTCGTCTTCCCTTGATGTGATAGTTTATCTGGATGAGGGATTCAAAATGCTACATTGTGGGTTTTGTTCCTCATGTAATATAAAGAGATTGAATTGATCCTTCCATTGTTGAAGATGATTAAATGTTTTGCTATATACTTTTATACATTATTTTCTTATCAAACTAGTTAACAAGTATTTTTATATGTTTGTAAGCAAATATGCTTTTCACAGCATAACTTGTGTATATGTAAAGATGAGTATTTAATTCTCACATTTCACTCTTAACTGACAAAACTATAGGTATAATTTACAAGACTGTGGTAATACTTTCCTAATGTCCTGGCCTCAGCTGGTTGTGTCCAGCTGAAGCTAGTCATGTGCCTGTGAAGTGTACCCACAGAGATTAATTTGCTCAACTTTCCAAATGCTCTGAACAGCCATTACTGAAGATGGATCAATTATGTACAAAGAAGGATCTACATGTACAAGTTTGGAATTTAAGAAACTCCTGCTGATATTTGGGTTTGACTGTGGATGGTCTCTTGAGTGCAAGTTCTGTGGATTTGTAACTTGGTTTGAGATGTGTTCTTGGAACATTAACATAGAAGTTGTACACAACTGTCCTGATAATGACTATAATACATCAATTCCTCAAAGTTTGATCTTACTATACCCTTGTATAGCTTCTGGTGCTAGAATAAAAGATGATTCAATTAGTGAAAGACTTATTATATATTTTTTCTCATTATTGCCCCCTCTCGTTCCCACCACATTTTCCTCTTTATAGGTGTACTTTCGGGCCAGAAGAGTTATTTTTGTTGAACTGCTGATAATTTCGGTTTTTTTTCTTTTGAATTAATGCGCGGGTGATTTAACCACTGAACATTGCCAGTGTAATTTTATTGCACTTGAGATAGATACATTTGCAAAAGGCGCACAGGAATTCTACATTTAAAATCACCGCACCATGAACACAAGAGGGCAGCGTTTACAGGCGCATCAGTCCACCACTGTCACAGAACTGCGCTCTCCATCTGCAAGTGGAAGCTTCCATCTTGCGATTTTAAAAAAAGAAAAATCTCTTTCCCCTTCTTTCCTGAAGTTTTTATTATGATCCTTGCATTTGGTACAGCATCTTTCACGTCTGGACGACATTTCAAAGCACTTCACAGACAAATGTGGCCGCCAAATTATGCACAGCAATGTCCCATCAAGCAGCCATGAAGTGTTAGTGTTTCCAACGTGCAATAAAGCTGTCTATATAATTTTGAGTCATCAAACTGAACAGTTCTACAGTGCCTGAGGCTTGCTTACAAGAAATAGATCTTGCAAACAAACATGACCGGAAGGAATACTCAGCCATAATAATTTCTTTAAAAAAATAATAAATTGGTCACTCAATGCATGACTGTTCGTGGGACGCTGCTGTGTGCAATTGGCTACTGCGTTCCGTGCAGAAAATATAAAGTCAATTCACTTTACAGTATATAATCTGAAGCGCTTTAAGACATCGAAGACATGATAAGGCACTATATCGAATGCAATATATATATGTATATGCACTATATATTCACATGCTGCAAAGTGGGCCTTTATCATCTGCTGTTATGAGCGCCGGCTCAACAGATGTTGGTCATGTCGTAGAATTATTTTCACCTTGTGCACACAGGATGAGGATGAAGTTTAGTTTTGCTGTCGTTTTGGCTAGATGAACATACATTTGTGTTTGGGTTGCCTTCAATTTGTATATACCCACCTACTGTTTAAACACATGCCTTTGCATAGCTTTTTAAATGGTCATTTTTAAAAAAAAAATTAGCAACAATACCATCACCCAGCATTTAGTCAGGGATGTGATTAGTGCATTTGTTAAATTCAGATGCAGTTTTAAAGAAAAAAAGGTCTCCACAATTCCAGTGTTGCTTTTGGTAATGGTGGAAGTATTTACCAAAAGATTTTTTTTAAAAAAAGGTCCTAGGGCAGCATGATAAAGATTTTAGGTTGACAAAATAAAGATAATTCGGGTACTCAAAACACCCAAGCTGTGAGGGAGAGGCTGAGACCCAAACATTCTCTCGCTGTGGTGAAAAAGTGGTCGGGGATACGTTCCAAATGGTCAAAATGCTGAAACGTGGATGTTGTGACTGTGGCCCAAATCAACCGAGATCATAAGAATACAAACTCTGCTTTCAAGCAAGGCAAAGGTATCAGTGATTATTTTTTTTTCCCACAGAGCAACCATTCCTTATTTAAAGTTACAAAAGGAATCATCAAGGGGCTCCACCCTTGTCCAGGTCCAAGTTGTTGTTGTTATTAATAACCCTGTGTGCTCTTATTCTGCCTTATTGGATGAAATACTTGTGACATTGTGAAGAGGTGATTCCCCTTACACCGTGCATGGAGGAATTGCAAAAAGGTAGAAGCAGAATTTCTAAAACAAAATTAAGTCAGTGAATGGACCTGAACACTGGAAACTGGAGGAAAAAACACATAGTGAGTCACCATCTAATGGTGGCAAGTGGTTGTGTGCCTCCGGTATTGGACTCTATTTCAGCTTTCATCTAGGTCCTCCAAAACATAAGCCAACTTGTTGAACCCGTTCGAAAAGTGGGGAAAAAAAATTAGTGATCACTCTTCCACGACTGTTGTTGAGACACTTGTGTGCAATTGGCTGCCGTATTTCACCCACAAAATACAGTCAATTCACTTTAAAACATATTCTGTGAAGCGCTTTGAGCCATCTCAACGATGTGATAAGGCGCTATATCAAATGCAAGGATTATTTATTATCAGGCTACATACTAGTGTTCAGAGGGTTTTGGGTGTCCAGTCACAAAACGTTAGTATAAAGGTACAGCAAGCAACTAGGAAGGCTAATGCCATGTTGGCGTTCGATGCAAAGGGGTTAGAGTACAAGAGTAGGGAAATCTTGCTGTAGTTGTGTAAGGCCTTGGTGATCGCACCTAGAATATCGTGTGCAGTTTTGGTCTCCTTATTTAAGAAAGGACATACTCGCCTTAGAGGCGGTGCAGCGTAGATTCACTAGGTTGGTTCCTGGGATGAGGGGGTTGACCTATGAGGATAGGTTGAGTAAACTAGGCCTATACTCTCTAGAATATAGAAGAATTTAGAGGTGATCTTATAGAAACCTATACGATTTTTAAGGGTCTTGACAGGGTAGATGCCGTGAGATTGTTTCCCCTGGTTGGAGAATCTAAAACTAGAGGTTATAGTCTCAAGATTAAGGGTCAGCCCTTTCAAACATTTCTTCATTCAGAAGGTAGTGAACTTGTGGAATTCTCTACACCAGAAGGCTGTGGATGCTCAGGCCTTGAACATATTCAAAACTGAGGTTGATAGTTTCTAAAGGATAGAGGGATTAAGGGTTATGGGGATAGGGCGGGTAAATGGAATTAGGTTAGAAGATCAGCCATGATCTTATTACATTGCGGGGCAGGCTCGAGGGGCCAAATGGCCTATTCCTGATCCTACGTCTTATGGTCTTATATTAGGCATTTTTTTCTAGTTTCAGTACTTTCTCACTCACATCTAACATACACCAGTTACAATTTTAAAAAATTTGGCCAAGAGAGGACAGATGTGAGAGGACAGATGTCCTCTCAGATGACAGATGTCATGACAGGTGACAACACCATCAGTGAAAGATATATCTGTATAATTGTTTGTTTAAAATTGCGAAGATTTTCTTTTAAGCAGCTATTAGTACTTTTGGTGAAGGGATGAGTGTGTTTGAAGCATAAGAGTGCTCACTATGAGCAGATTGTATGTGTAATACACTAATTTTCCTTTGCTTTACTGTGCACGCAAGTACAAAATGTCTTGGCCCCCAAATATTTCCATACATTTTTGGTTGTTTTCACTGATCTGCATCCAGGGAAAATTTGATTCAAAGTGAGAGTGTTTCCAGACATAGTCAGATGGTTTCTGTAGACAATATGTTTTCTTGTGGGTTTATTTCTGGGGAGATGACTGAAAGAGGTAAGGCTTTGAATGTGGCGAGGGAGGGGGCAAGTTGGAGGGGCTCATAGAAAAGTAGGAGACTTATAACTTACAGAAATTAGACAGGTTACAGTGGGTTGAGTGTTGACTGTGACAGCTCCACGTATTGAAGCAAGTGCAGAGTGCTAGACTGTTTAATTGCTCTGTTGGTTTGCAGTGCACTGCACGGATTTGCAAGAAATATACGTGTGCTTTGTATAGATGGGAATCTACTGAAAAGCCAGCTTGTGATCAGGAAATGATGGTGTTAGATAACAGTAAGTGAAATAAAATTACCGCATTTAAGGTGCACTTCGAGAAACAATATGAAAATAAAAGCAGACTTCCTTTCTATTTCAGTTACCAAACATTCTTGGTGTAAAGTTTCCACAGCGACATGTCACTTTCATTATCTGACTGCTGTAACCTTGGTTTTTTTTCTACTTTGTGGGTTTTTGAGAGTTCCATCTCTGCTCAGTCATATTAAACCCGTCATTTGTGCTTCAAAATATATTTTTAAAACTTTTATTTCAAGCCTTTTAACTCGATTGTTAAATATGTATATTTGTGATAGAGTCTTTCACATCAGGAGGATGTCTCAAAACGTTTCGCAGGATTTACTGTAAAGTGTAGTTACTGTATATTTGGTAAGCGAATGGGGCAGCCAAAGGGCACACAGCAATGTCCCACAAACAGCCATGAAGTGAATGACCAATTTTAGCTGGAGGATTGATGGCCAGGAGACCAGGACAAACTCCCTTCACAAGAGGAGGATGGCTTCCTGTTGTCCATGCTGAGCTGCAAAAAATTTAATTATTTCAGAAAAATGTGCTTCGATAACGCAATCTAAATATTTATCATGAGCTCCACTATAAACGTTTTTTCCACAGCTACTCAGTTCCATATTTGTGTTGATCTTTTTTGTTTCTTGGGCTTTCTCATGTTCTCATGCATTCTTAAGCTGTGTCCATTTTAATTAACGTAAACTCAGGAATCTCAGAGCTGTGCTTGTCGATCACAAATGAAGCGTACGTTTTCTTCGGTTTAAGTGTTGGTTTCCTTTCAAATTCAATTAAAACATTGGAGCGTTGCTGTTCACAGATTTCACTTTGCTCAGAATTGGCGTGAGAGTAAATGCTTTGCCACTGTGATAAAGGGGACCTCCTACTGGTATCCATGTGTCAGTGCTGGACTGCGGCCCTGTTTACAGATTGAACGAGCTTCAAAAAGTCTCAGCAAAATCTATTATAAAACGAAGTGCATTCCCCATAAAGATATTTCATGAACCTGAGGTATAAAGTGAGATTCGGGAGTTAAGTGTCTGATTTTATTCATAACATTCTGCTTACATCATTGTTACTCATCACATGGCTCCAGGACCATTGGTGGCCTCATCCCTTTTAACTTCAGTCACTTTGGCCGAACTTGCAGCTCCACCTTTCTCTGGTCTTTGATTTACTGCTTGCCTGGGTGTCGGATGTGAGAGCGGCGATTTGAGTGCTATTCCCTCTTCTCTTGTTCTCTGTCCAAAGAAAGGAGCAGATAAAATGACTCTGATTAAGCTATAGAATATAAAATTTAATGGAAACATTGGCCCATTTTATTTTTGCCGTTACTGTACTGTGAGTGTCTAAACTATATTTAGATCTGACCACATTGTGTAGAAAATCAATTGTTCCGAGAATCGCTGTCAAGAATCTGTAGTAATAGCTGTGAGTG